TATATATATATATATATAAATTGTTTGAAAGGAAACTAGAACCAAATTATTTTTTAAGATTGTGGAAGCTTTTTATTAACTTTTTTTTATCATAATTAAAATACTGAACTCAAAGTTATATAAATAAATGTTCCTCTTTTAATTGCATATCATAAAAGATGATCCTCCTTATGAGCTACTTTTATAATATATTTTTATAATACATAGTCGAAAGATACAAGTTAAAATAGAAGAACCCAAGCACCATTATACAGGTTTCTCGACTGAAAACTATTCGATTGTGCATACCCAAAAATAAACCAGTGCCTCCCAGTAATATGCCAGCGATAAATAAAAAATGAAAAATCCCCGGTTATTACATACGTTTCATTAGGCGAGCTACTTGGTATTGAAGTTCCTGCGAGTAAGTAGTGCGTGGTCTCTTCCCTGCGGACATTAAACTTAAACTCAACAATCAGATATTGATCCCAAAAAACCTTTACTTACTACGGAAGTGTTTGCTGCATTTAATAACAATCATAGGTTTTTATAGAAAAATAAACGAAAAATTTAACAAAACAACAGATTTAATTCTAAAAATTTCTGAAAACTTGTTGAAAATCAAACATATTACACATTTCTGGTCTTTCTCAGTGATATTTTTTCATTTTAATTAGGCTTACCGAATGAATAATGGCTATAGAGTAATTCTTGCGGATGCTTATCGTCAAGATCAGCACTGTTGATGCCCAGCGGATCCAATTTAGCGATATGATGGCCACGAATCTGTCAATTTAATGCCACATTCATGCAAAACATGATTTGCAACTGAATAGCTTGCAAAGTTTTGTTGATTTAAGTTTCGTTTAATTAAGACAAATTAAACTGTATTTGATGATTAATTTTTTCGAGAAATAAGTATATCACAGCAGAGATATAAAAAAAAAGTGCACAAATTCACACCAATATGTGCACTTATTAAAACTGCACGTTGTTGTTCTATTCTACTCTGTAACGCTTAGTGCCGAACGCTGTGATAAAACTCATATCACAGTAATTAATATTGTATCACAATAAATATACATTTTAATATCAAGCTATGATGTCTTAATATCTTGTGTTATCTGCTCCTTTTAGTTTCTCTATTATTAAAGGTTTATGTAACTCTTTATGTATCTCTTTTGTGCAGTCATAAATCATAAAAAGAAATCAATAATAAAACAAAGTTTGTTTAAACATACTTATTCCTAACGGAAAAAAATTTACACGTATATTTAAAGTATAAATTTTGAAGAAAAAAAAACAGGCATGACACAGACAAAATGCACATGTTTAAGAGCACAAACCATGTAGCAATACATATAAATTGTACATGCAAAGCCAACACAAAGTTTATTATTCTTACCTTCAATATTTTATCTGCATGCTAGATCAAAGTATGTGTGTATATATATACACGTCTCTTTCTCTCTCTCTCTCTCTCTCTCTCTCTCTCTCTCTGTGTGTGTGTGTGTGTGTGTGTGTGTGCACACGTCGCGCACGTGCACACACATATTTATCGATATTTAACCTCTTTTGCACATGTGCAAATAAATGTATAATTAAGTTTGAATTAAATGTAACCCTCTTTTACCAGTTTTATAAAACCATGTATACAACCACAATCAAAACTTTTAAAGCCGATTATAATTATTGATTACGAATAAATAAAGTGTATCAGTTTTTTTCATATGATTACAATAAATATACAAAGGACGATTAATACAATATCCAAAACGATGCATAGATAGTGACAATAGTATCACTGTTGTCGTTGACAAATTTCATTCTTCAGAACAAATTTGCACGTTTGTATGACAGTTTGCCCCTTAAACGTTTTCAGCGATTTTTGTCAATGCATCAGCTTATACTTGTTGCAATAGTCAAAATTTACGAGTTGGACTTCAAATTGGTGCTTCATTCCGCCTTATTCGCCAAACATGGCGATTTTCATTTATTTTCAAGTCTGAAAAAATTACTCAGTGGAAAGAAATTTTCGAGTACCAATGAAGCCATCGATAACGTAGATAATTATTTTAAAAAACTCGAGAAATCGTTTTACCAAATGGTACTTGTCTTACATAAGTGCTTTCGAGAAACGCTGATCAAAGCTGTATTAAAATAAAAAGCAACTATATTGAAAAATAAATATATCTCAACACAATAAATAGTTTATTGTTTAAGATACTTATCAATCGTCCTTGTAAAATATTTAGTTAAACATTTTCAGTATCAGCATAAATGTTTTAAAAGTATATATATTTTCTATTTATCATAATATAAAATTCACTAAACCATTCTTTTTGCAATATGTACTTCATATTTTGTACACATTTCGTTTTTCTTTGTTATTATTAAAGATAATTAAGTTAGTAGTAAAAAAAGCACGCAGAGATATAAGAAATACAACTTTCAAAAATATAAGGCAAATAAAACAAATATTTTTCTATTTGATTTTTTTACAATTTTTTAACTTTAAAAATACGTTCCATACGTTTTGTCTTTTTTATACTTTATGTTTTTACTACTTCAATACTCTACTTTTTTATAATACTATTATATTTTGTAAATCTATATAAATTTCAATTTAGCTACTTTTACATGTATTATCAAAATGTATTTCAGTTTTTGTACATAAGTAGACAAATATATTCTTCAGTACAAGAAAAAATATACAAAAATGATCATGTAAAATGATAAGACCGAATAGGTATGTGTCGGGAAAAAAATGTCTCTCGACAAGCGTAACTGTAGAAAATATGAATAGAGAAATTTGTAATGTGTTATATATTTCTATACCACACACATATTAGTGGAATGCTATACTTATACAATACTCTGCACGTATGGCACGTATGAAAAGAAAAGAAATAATACTTATGTGCAAAACTGCAACAAAATAAAAATCTACAGATAATGCTTATGTAGTAAAGCCTTACCAAACATGTATTGTCGCAGCACTTGTTCTGGCGATCCCTTGCGGGCTGCGTAATGTGTGTGTATCAGATCTGTTTGCATGATACCCAGTGGGTCCAGATCGGCAACTAAGTGACCTCGAGCCTATACGCCAACGAATAATCCCAAAAGAAGATCTCCCATTTACATAACTGTGTTTACTTTTGCACACACACAGCTTTTGCAAAAGTAGACCTAGTTATATAACTCATAAATAATACTCAATGACAAAATCAAAGAAAAAAGCGAGAAATTGTTTTATTGACACTTGGAATGTATACAAAAAAAAATTTTGTATTTATTGTAAAAAAGAGATTTTAGAGAGATTTGAAGCTAATTCTTTTTCATACTACTTAAAACGAATAACAACGTAAAATATACATAAAAATTATATTTTGAAAACTTGTATTATCATTCTTGTTAAAATGCCATAGAACTACATGCTGAAAGTGACAGTGACTAATCAGTGTAATAATTGAACAAACAATGAGACTATTATGCAATCACTGCTTAAAATCATGTTTGCTACTGTGTACAGCAGAATTCTCTTGCGTAATCATGTGATGACACATGAAATAAATACGAATGACGTAAGAATTTGGGGGTACATATGATAGCCCCTAACGGAAAGCATAAAGTATAACATATGATACATTTTCTGTTCCAGCTTCATTAACACATATTTTACATGAACTATGCGCAAATTTATAACACACGCACGTACGTATATAAGCAAAAAAAAAAAAAAAAAAATATACACACAATGTATTATCTTTATCTACTAAAGTTTTATCTATTTGATATAAATTTAATGAAAAACTGGGACACAAAAGTTTTGTTCAGAGAATTTGACATGCATAATATACAATATACAATAACGATGTGCATGCTTATATGAATAAATTATGCAAATTGATATACTAATATTATATCATAATCTTTGTTTTGATAAAAGCAACGACAGAGAACTGAGAAGTTATTAATTTTTTTTTATACTACATGTTCAAAAAATGTTTCTCTTCAAAAAATATCTACTATTATTAACGTAATTGACAATCTAATCATTTAAATCTCTATTAAAATATAAGATGTATATGTATCATTTTATATTCAAATACTTTAGATTTAGAATGTAGTATAATTATATGTAGTATAATATATTATTAAGATTTTAAAGGGAGATCTAAAAGTGATACAATTAGCACTTAAATCTTTTATATATTCTTCTTATATATTCTTACCACATTAAACACTACATATCATACTTTTTTAAATTCGTATCACTTCTGGATTCCATCTTGTTAATAAACATGTCAAAAAGAAAATAAATGTTACAATTATTTGTTCTTAATAGAGATAGGAGCAGAAGTGTAGTAATATTCGAGAGAGTAATGTTGCAATTTTTCTGTTAGAATTATTGCAAGTGAAAGAGATGCATTTAATTACTTATATAATATTAAGTAACTAGCACAATGACTCATTTGTCTTTTGCAAACAAGATAAATTTGTATAAAAATTATTACTGTTATATTTTTTTTATCATAAAATAAACACAAGATAAACTCTTTTGTAAACAAGATACTTGTTTACAAAAGCAGCATTGAACTTTGTTGTTATCTAGGAGAGAAAGCAAAAATATAAATGATTCCAGTATCACATACCTGGTATGACCGAATAATCGCTTGCACCGCTAGATGATCGTCAATAATTTTTTCGTTGATAGGTGCCTGGCCGATTTGAGTTCCACCACCCAGGGGTAACAATGCTCCAAGAGGCACCTGATTGTAACTTGGAGCGAGAGATGGCGGCGCCTGATACGCAAGTCCTGGTGCAGCTCCTGCGGTGCTATTTCGAAAAAAAGAATCCCATGACTGTAAAAAAAAACAAAAAAAAAAAAAAACAAAAATAAAACAAATTTAAGATCTTTTCAGCTGTACAATAATATAAACATTTTTGACAGAACAAATTGACAAACTCTAATAAATTATAATTTAAATTAATGTTTTTTGTAAGAAAGTAATTGCAATTTAATGTGTACAGTTTTACTCACTACATGCACACTGGTTGGATCTTGCAGCCATGCATTGTACATTTCCTCCACATAAGAGCTAGTACTGCCATTTAAGAAGGGTTCGGTTGCTACACGGCTGTTGTACTTGCGCACGGACTCGGTCCGGAAGATTATTTGGGTAGTTCTGATTATTGGATTACGAGTCATCCAGGAGGCATATCTTTCAGGTCCACACATACGCGGCAATGGCGCCAGCGTTCTAATGACTGTTCTTGCCTTATACATTCTTACTTAAAATATAAAATAAGATAGAAACTATTATTTATTATTTATTATTAAAATCAATGTAAAATTCAATGAATTAGGAGTACATTTGACATAAAATATAAAGATAAAAGATATAATTAATATTTTGATATAATTATTTTATGCCATTAAAAGTTTAAACTGTACATTAAAGTGTTTTCTATTAACAAAAACTATCACATCTATCTTTTTAGAGTAACTAGTTTTGTTTATAAGATATTAATGACAGTACGAAAATTGATAAAACGGAGTGCAGATATATTAAGTAGTATTCAATATAACTGAAGTCGCGTACTTATTAATCTGTACAGTGGTTTGTACACAGAAGCATAAAAAACAGTTAGTATTATGGAAAAGCAATTTTTAAGAAATGAGAAGTTGAGTTATAAGAAATTTGACTGTATAAACTTATACATGCTACTTATCTACAACGCGATGATTTATGCGCACGAGGTTCGCGATCGAACCGGCAAAAGATTGCTAACATAAACTAATAAACTGCTAATAAGATTTTATGAGACATAAATGCAATCAAAATGAATTTCGATTTTTAAACGCAAAATAAAAGTCGATATTTTTACAGGAAAAACCACTATGCATAGCGTGCGTGCGCACGCGCGCGTGTATGTGTGTGCGTGTACTAACTTACGAATTTTTATCAAAAATAACGACTTTAATGATTATCATGTCGTTACGATGGATGCAATCAGATGTATAGCAAAATTAATGTCAATTGAACTATATCGCGAATGTTTTTGTTTCGATAAAAGCATCACAGAGGATTTTTGCGTAGTCAGGTGACTATTTTCGTCGATCGCAGCATTTACGTAATCTGGCGAAATTGCGACGACACATGCCGTCGATCAGCAACGATCGCGCAAATAGTTTTTGACACGTCAGTTTATCAACAAGAGGTTAACAAATCGCATGTAATATGTTTTGCGTCCTGACAACGTCGCTTCGACATTGTTCGCCGGGAACTTTGCCTACCTGATGTTGACAAAGATCACACACCATCCACCATTTGCAACTCACTGTTACCGCTACCGCTGTTGTGCCCAGACAGGCCCTGTTCGGTTATTACTGCAGTACTGAAAAATCTATAGTATACGTGACATGAATCTATAGATTTTCAGTACTGCCAGTAAAAAACGAATGCAGCTACAATATACACTAGTGTGTTCCCAATTCCCAGACTTGCTAAAGTTCGTTCCGTTTCGCGCATATGCGCGCATTTATCTATAGTACACGTCACGTATAGTATAGACAAATGCGCGCATATGCGTGAAACGGAACGCAGCTTAAGAGTGCTTTCCAACTACGTACAGGCGACACTATGGGTGCGTTCAGACAACTCAACGGTTGAGAGATCATTACTTATGATAGGACTATTCTTCAAAATCTGCAACGGTTCCAAAAGTATGATCCAATCAGAAGTGATTATCTCTCAACCGTTGTGCAACTGTTGAGTTGTCTGAACGCACCCTATGACTGTGTTCCAAAATTTACTGCCAGCGCTAAAGATCCATAGTTTACGTCACATATATTATACAATTTTAGCACTGGCAGCGTACTGGCAGTTATTCTGGAACACAGCTTAAGTAGCAATCGACTGTGATTAGTTTAGATTAAAATAAGAGCCAATCACAGTCGATTGCTACTTTGAGCGGTCGTGCTTCCACGTGCTTCTAAGCTGTGTTCCGTTTCACGCAAATGCGCGCATTCATCTATAGTGCACGTCACGTATAGTATAGATAAATGTGCGCATATGTGTAACTCAGAACGCAGCTAGGACCAGTGCTGCTGCCACTAGGCGAGGTTTTGGTGCGCACTCAGTGCGGCCCAGTGAAAAACGCTGATAAGCCCTGGATGCACCTTTTGTGTGTGAGCCCTAATAGTGCTTGCCCTAAGTGCAAAGAAAAAGAACAGTTCTCTTCTTTCACGTGGAGTTTTATTTCTTTTACTACATCCTCTTCTGTATAGAGTTGAAGATGGTAAGTTTTATAGGTAATATCTGTTTACATCGCGTGTAGATATTATGAATTGTTTTAATACAAACAAAATATTCGGTGTGCATAGTTTTATGTAATCGATGATGTGTTTATGAAGTCTGAAATCTGCATTTTATCACTTGAAAACAAGTTATTTTACTATCGTACTTATCTGTTTCACTTTTTAATCAAGTTTTTTATGTTCCTTCTATATTATTTTCTTATAATATGTAAATCTTGCGATTCTGTTTGAATTAAAAATGCTTTACTTTCTTTAAAAAGAAAAATTAAATAATTTCGTAATCTGTATTGTGACATAACCTAAGATTTGCGATAGATGCTGCATATTATTTTCCATTTGTGTGAATAATTAAAAACACTTTATATTATGCGTGAAATATTGAGTGAATTTAGGATACATGAGCAGTTGTATAAGTTTTAGATTTCAGTTCTTACGTGGCATATTACTTTAAAATAATGATAAATTATATAAAAATGTGATTTTATATAGCTAAGACTCAATATAACTAGTATCAATGAAAACCTGTAAACTTATATAGATGTATCAGATCTTTTCCGCTACTGAAAGTATAATTCTATATTATATGAATATGTTACACAAGAATAGAACAAAGCTTTAGCTTTTTTTAATAACTTGTTTCTTATTTTGTTAAAATTCTATTGTAGTTGTAAGTTGTTTCTGTTTTAGGCACGTGGTCCAAAGAAACATCTTAAGCGTCTTAATGCGCCAAAAGCATGGATGTTAGACAAACTTGGAGGTGTATATGCTCCTCGTCCCTCTACTGGGCCTCACAGGCTCAGGGAGTCGCTACCTTTAGTTATTTTTCTTCGCAATAGGCTGAAATATGCTTTGACTAATTGTGAAGTTACAAAGATAGTTATGCAACGTTTGATTAAAGTTGATGGAAAAGTTCGTACAGATCCCAATTATCCGGCTGGTTTTATGGGTAAGAACTTTTTTCTTATTTTTCCTAGGACTGAAATAGACCATATAAACCTAACACTTTGGATTGTATAAAAAGTGTTACAAAAATATGGCCAACAACAAAATGAGTTCTTTACTTAGGTCACAAGAGTTTTGTGATAAAAAACTATTTTTTCTATAATATCCAGAAAGAACACAATTATACATAATTGATACATGCACATAAAGAAAGTACAGATTGATTAAAATAATTGTGAATAAATCATTTTAGATGTTATTACAATTGAGAAGACTGGTGAATTCTTCCGGTTGATCTATGATGTCAAGGGACGTTTCACTACTCATCGTATAACTGCTGAGGAAGCTAAAGTAATTGTCTTAATGTGCAACTTTTTGATCATTATTTTGATACATATATATATAACGTACATTTTTTTATATGTATATATATAAATGTACGCATACATGTATTTATAACACTGTGTGTTGCAGTACAAACTGTGTAAAGTGAAGCGTGTTCAAACCGGTCCTAAAGGTATACCGTTTTTAGTTACACATGATGGTAGAACAATCAGATATCCGGATCCTGTAATAAAAGTCAATGACACTATTCATCTAGACATTGCCACTGGCAAGATTTTAGATTCTATCAGATTTGATTCTGGTATGTTGCTTCTAATAATTGCTTGGATACTAAAAATAAAAATTAAATATCGGAAGAAGTTAGAAATAAACTTTTCAAGCGTAATTCTTTTTTTGCCTATTAGGTAATCTGTGCATGATTACTGGCGGAAGGAATTTGGGTCGTGTTGGGACTGTTGTCAGCCGTGAACGTCATCCTGGCTCTTTTGACATTTGTCACATAAAAGATGCTCAAGGTCATACCTTTGCCACAAGGTATGCGATAATAAATATATAAGTATACATATATATACATATACAATATATACAGGGTGTCCCGTAATTGCCGTCTCACGTTGATTAGCAGATCTTTATTNATTACTATTTCGTTAATTATTGCGAATCTTGCAAAGTGGTATAGAACTTTTTGTCTTAGAATAACCCCTTTTATCTACCTACGAGCGGTTAGACGGCAATTATGGGACACCCTGTATATATATTATTTTACATTAATTTTTTACAATTTTGAAAACATTAAATATTATTTTAATAATTTAATTTGATTATAAAGTACGAAAAATAAAAATATTTATTTTTGTTTTTTCTTTTAAGAAAGTTGATTTATTATTTTAATGGTTTTACATTAAAAAATTTTATTTTTTTTTTATGTACCAAATCGTTTAATTCTGGGCCATATCGAAGCTATGATATGTAATTATTACGTATTATAGTCAAAAACTGGCCAAAATTAAAGTCCTTCATAATGGTCACTGATCATCGATATATTAGATTTTCCGTATTACCCAAGGAGGAAACAATATACTACTTGTTATTGTTTCAGCAGTTGATTCATATATAATACTATAGGTTTTTACATTATATAAATTATTCATTCTAGATTAAACAACGTTTTTATCATTGGCAAAGGTACGAAGGCATATGTCAGTTTACCAAGAGATAAAGGAGTGAAATTGACTATTGCCGAAGAACGTGACAAAAGATTAGCGGCGAAAGGTGTAAATTAATAATGTATCTTCAAGAAAACGTTCAATAAACTGAGATTACTTGGTAATTATTAATAATGTTTGCTCTTTCTTCCCTTGTCTCTCTCTCTCTCTCTCTCTCTCTCTCTCTCTCTCTCTCTCTCTCTCTCTCTTTATTATTTTTATATCTGTATGTACTTATACAAATATTTTCTAATATATAATTTATTCTAGTTGAATGTAAAAGTTTTTAGTTACTAAGTTGATATTTTGCTGAAATAAAAATGCGTACTTATAATAATATAACAGTAAAGTTATACTTGGTATTTCTTACAATGATAAAACTAACAAGCACAGATAAGTAGATAATAAATAATATGTGAATATATTGCGCATGAGCAAAAAGTGTACATTTCTAGATTTTTACTTCTCCGGCAGCCAAACTTCCGTATTCATTTTAAGCGTACTTTGCAGGAGAGCGTTATATTGCTCATCTTTGAGTTTTTCGTTTCTCTGGTGTACTTCTTTTGCAGCTTTTAAATATCTACAAAAAAATGTAAATTACAACAATATCATATAGTGTTTAAGACTTTTTGAGATATCTAAACATGAGGTTCGATTTGACGGTGAAAACGTTGATCGTCCCGAGAACAAAATGAACATAAAAAGCATGAGGTCTGTTTGTTTAAGGCCACATTACGGATTGAGATTTAACCAATCCACATGGGATTGAAATTTAACCAATCAGATCAAAGTTTACGAAACTTGAGATTGCATTCCTTTATTCTGATTGATTCTAAATTAAAGTAAAATTCAATCTGAATCTTAATTCGTAGTTTGATACGGGTTTTACATTTTTGCAATGTTTGCAATTAAAATAAGATAGATAAGAAAGGAAAAACTAAATTAAATCCATGAAAGTGTAAGTGACACGTACAGACTTACACGAAACGGCCTGAAATGGCTTGAAGAAAATTTGTCAAAAGTTTCGTGCAAAAAAATGATTTGTAAAAATAAAAATGTTTATGCGACAAATCAAAAGATTTATTCAACAAAACATCTGTAAAACATACCGGATATTTCGTTCGAGAATGATTTAATGTAAGAAACGCAAAATCAAGTCATGAATCGGCAATTATCAAATTGATACTGTTGGCCTGTGACAAGCATATGTTTCGATTATATTGTGTAGTTTGGATTTTGTTGTTGAACCGAAATTAGAGTATGCGGTATATTTTAAAGTGTGCTCTATTAATTCAACAAGCCTTTATACTTTTTTCACACAAAGTTATACAAAATTTCCGCGAACATAGAGAAGCTTTATTTACTGCTTAACTATACAATATTTTATATGATAAATTTTACTGATTGTAAGAAAAATTAACAGTTTTTAAAATTTTAACTTGACATATTGACGAATCTTTAGAGCAGTTTATACAAAATATAAAACTTCGATAACCCAAAATTACTTTTGTATAGAAAGAACCATATCCTTGATCTCGTTTTCAACGATTTTGAACGATGGTTCCGCATATTCTGTATGTTTTATATTTTTTTTCCGAGTAAATGGACAAATACGAATCCAACCGCCTTCTTTTGCACAAGAAGTTCTCCAATCTCTGCCGTTATCCCAAATCGGTGATGTAAAATTTTCTATCACATTTCTTTTATATTCTCGATGTATGCATTTGTCTACTAAAAGTGAATTATAACGAGACCATACAGTGTGTGTCGGACAAAGTTCCGTTGATTGTCTCACCTGAAATAAAATTGGAAGAAAATGTACATATATAATTGGAAAAAGGCAGTACATATATAAACGTATATACGCGTATGCGTAACTGGAAATATTAGTTTTGTTACATAAATTTAATTTTGGAAAAAGAAAAATCTCTTGGCAAGTACCGTGGCTTGAGTTTCCGCAGAAAGATTTAAAACCGCATTGGCTTCTCTTTTTAAGTTTCTTTTTGCAAAGCGGTTGTATTTGGAAGATATTTCGTTTTCATCTTCTTCGATACGATCAGAGGAGGACCAAATTTTGAACAAAGAAAGCCCAGTATTACATACTGGAAGACCTAACAAATCAAAAAGATCGTGTAACAAGGGCTTCTTCACTTCTGAATCGATCTCGCAGTCGTTACTTAAAGCCGGACTTAAATTCACCTGTAATCCATTGCGTTGTATCTCATTACAACGATTGAATTAGTTATTTTAATTATTTCGGATCATATTTTATGTACCTCTAAAAGCCACGGTTTTAAATTCTCATCAATTAGTACATCAAAACCAAAAAATTCAAAACAATTTGAGGATCTAGGAATGGCTGCTGCTTGACTTAAAATCGTTAGAGTCACTAAACACGAGATTCTTTGCCAAAGAATCCAATCAAAATATCCTGATCGCTCCAAATATCTTCTTAGTTGTCTAAATGTCCATTTGCAACCTTAGAAATATACTTTATTTTTACGTGGAATTATATAAAACAATCAATTAAAATAAAAACAAAAAAACATACCTGCGCCAATACGTTCCTTCTTTTCTGAATAGCCGGGTCCCAGTTTATTCAGGGAGAAATTTGTGAGATGCTGAAATGGATCGTCCAGTCGTTCCAAGGAAAATTTTTCTGTAGCGAAACGAGTCAAGCCTTCCTTGTATAAATAAATCGTTAACGGGCGATACGACGGAACACATACATACAAACGAAGATCGAATTTATATCCACCGATCAGAAGAGGATTTTCGATATATCTTTGTACAATTGCAGCATTATCATAAGACAGATCGCTTAATTTCTAGAAATTTATTAGATCAACAAGAATTTGTCTTATACATGTGATTGAATTTAAAATTATATAAATTAATTTTATATATATATGTTTTTTTTAATTTACGCGGTAATAAGAAGTTTTATTAAAGAGGAAAGTTTGCATGCATATTCTTAGCCTTACGCGAAACAGAAAAATTCCTTTTCCTTGACTTTGACCAACTGGCTTGCAAATCCAAACTTTCTCGTCTTTTTCACAACGACTACACTCTTCAGCTAATCTTGTGTATTCAGAAGGTAAAGTATATCCTACAGGACTAATAACAAATTAATATCATTAATTAATATTATTAAGAAAAAAGAAAGAATACATTTATATATATATATATATACATGTAAACAACTTAATAAATAGTAATTGTATTTGAAAGAAATTCTTTTTTTTGTTAACAATTATAAGCATCATTAAAAATCTAATTATTGTACATGATACCTAAAGTCATAAATCGAACCGTGGATTTTTTTCATGCACTTTAGATGACGAATCAGCTTGTCCTTTCGGCAGATAGAATTTCCCTTTGGTATCCGATTAACGAACTGTCCGAGAAGTAATTCGACATATTATTCGAATTAGTTTAACTGATAATTTCTGAAGTTTTAATTAATTAGAAAATATATAATTGAGGTAAATAAGTGCATCATATGATTTCTTTACAAAACGTATAAAAGAGTAACAAAGTTGAAATAAAACAACAAATAAAATACAAAAAATTTGTTTGTTGTTATCAAGATTTGTTGTTGTGATAATTACAGAGCATTTGAAGAAACTATTTTGCATGCTTGTTTATATTTCGAAAAGCTCTAGATTTTAAAACACAAGTAGAGATATTGCAATATATATTACCTGCCAAGGAAGTAATGGCCTATAATGCGACGTTGTGAAACCACCGGACCGCCACCATAAATTCCATCGATCTTTGAATACATTATTTTCGCCGGCATATTCCCGCCATCCTCGTTCCGTGCAAACCTGTAAAAGAAGATATTTACAATAACGAAAAGATGACTAGCATCAACGAGAAATTATTAATTGTCAGATGGCAACAAAAGCGAATCTTTACTGCATTATTTGCGACATAGAACAATATCGAAATAAATCCGGTTTAAATGCACAACCATTATTTTTTCGAAAGACGTGAGTGCAATTTGACAAAAAGCTAGTAATAACTGTGCTACTTATGTCACCAATGCATATTCTTTTAATATATTCTAAACCTAAATTAAATTTAAGAACTATTTTTAAAGTAAACTGCTCGTACTTAGTACGACGGATAAAAAAAAAGCAGTTTTATTAATTTAATCTATTCTGGAATATAAATATGCTTATATAATTTAAAGTATCCGATTTTTAACGCGTCATACCTCATATGTGAAATTAAAGCGCGTTTTACAAACACCGAAAAAGTATACGCATAGTTTTTATCGAGTCAATTTATCGCTGTGTGTACACATATACATATATGCATAGTATGCGGTAAATCTTGGAGTGATCAAATTAATAGATGTAAACATCTCTTAGTTCGATAGCCAAAAAAGTAGACCCATTAGTTCTAAATATTGCATCACGCATTTTGAACTTTTGCTAAAGTTTCGAGGGTGAAGTACGAAAATAGCGACGAGCTGTCCTTGATTTATTGTCGTGTTATTAGAACATTAGGAATGATCGCTCGTGGTATCAAAAGAACCAAGGTCTTTGATTACAATTAAATCAGCGTGCACGATACACCGCTTTAATTGAGAAGCTTTATTTCAAATCTTAAAATTCATCTTTTGATAACAATAGAGATTGTGTATATATATATATATTGTCATCTGAGAGTTAGAGAATTCTATAACCATCTAATTTTCCGTGGACATGAAACACTCTAGATGATGATATACATATATCTCATAAACCAGTTTTATGAATTACTTACTTTGTAACACAATTTCCACTTATTGTAAACATTAGTCTAAGATGTGTTGAGATAGTTTGAAAATATATAAACTTTTCAATTATACAAAGATTTACTCGATTGTGAAAAAATTTAGTAATTTAAGGAATATCGCATACATTCGTTTATTTTGAACAATACAAAATTTACACGAATTTGTGTCAAATATACATAATAATCTTGAAATTCGAATCATAGATCAATATATTCCTGCAGATTTTCTTACGATATGCAAGAAAAAGTTGAAATTTTCTTTGATTAATTTTATGTTGTATACAAGACGACTGAACTGTTTTTGTAAAAGTTTATTTTAGACACATTTATGCAAAATCTCCAAATGACTCGCGAATTATATACCGTCACTAATAAGCTTCCATTTTTTAAGTGTCGTCCTTTTATGAATATCTTATTTTTTGCTCTATTACGCTTGATTGCTGCATGTAACAACCAGAGGTAGACACAAACAATTAGTTTAAGAAATAAAAACTTTTGAGCGACGCAATTTTATGTAAATAAAACTATGTTCTCGTATGACGCTTAATATCCAAGCATAATAAGCTCGCGCGGACACACGAGATAGAAAGATTAGATTTAATCAAAGAGAACACTATTTGTATATTAAAATAATTTCTTATATAAATTTAGGAATTATATACAACACTCTGTACTTTATATTTTATAAACTCCTTAATCCTTAATCACGATTAAAATTTTTGTAACTAAAAATTTGATATCGCGATTACAACTGAATAGCGTAAAAATATCATGTGTGTCAAAGATTTTTATGAATTCTAGTCGAGGTTTTGCTCTTTTTTTTTATCGTTGCATGTTGTACTTACTTAATCATCGCGACTAAAAACAGCGAGTGCACGCAGAGGCGCGTTGCAGGTATGCATGTATGTATTGCGTACTTTGAAAAGTATTTGGATCAAGGACATTAAGTCTAAGTTTGTAACCGTGCCGCGAACAAATTCCAAGGGACATAAAAGCTAAAGCGGATTCCTACTCTTGTCTACATACATATTACTTTCTTCGAAGCCGATGACCTTTCACGTTTCAGAATCGAATCGATTATTCGCAATGCATTGCACGCAGCAACTAACACGAGTATTTTATATATAGATTATTTTATACACACACCTACACGTGCGCGCGCGTGTATATGAAATGTCTAATTTTCTACAAAAAAGTGATATAACTTTGAGGAAGACATAAGATGATATCATTGCTTTGACTTTGGATAGTCATTTGAAGATCATGTGAAGGTCGTGCGTGCGTTTCGTGTGTTTGCATTCGCACGCGGAGATAACTCTACAGATTGTCATTCCTATATTTAATGATTCTAAACTCTCTTTATTATAAATATATGATAGCTTATCTATAAAATTGTGACAAAAGTGTAGTTTTATTTGACTTCTAATCATACCTGTACAAGTAGATGTGGTCCGGAACCGTTTTCATTTAATCTGAATACAAAAGGGCCTTCCATGCATTTTATTGCCATGCTGATGCATCATACTTTCTTGATATATAATACATTAAATCTCCAGTTTTCGAAATTATATTGGTGTTACAATATAATAGAAGTAAAGTGATGACGTGTGTATATATATATTCTGAAATTGTATTTACATTATATATATATACATATATATATATATATAAAAGAACATATTAAAGTAATAAAAGTCTTTAACAAATATGATTTTATGTTTATAATAAACTGTTTTAGAATGAAACTTTTGTTGCAAAGTTTTTAACAAAGGTAACATTTTGTGACACACGATATTTATCTTTTAAATTAATTGATTAAAATGTTTATTAAAGATGACAACATCAATTCAATTAGAATTATTAAATATAATCGAATGATAGTAAAACAATCCACACAAATGCGCACAATCTATCAATATTATATCTGCATATCAACTTGCTCCATGTAAGTATATATATCAGGTAGCTCAATGTCAGGAATGTTTTGAAATGTTAAGCGCGCGTAAATCACGGACGATGCCACGTGTATTACGTCTTATGGTCAGAGAAGCAAATTAAGAGAAAAATAATATAAGAGTTTACCTTTATAAATAATGTGATATTTTTATTAATAAATATCTGAAGCCTTAGAAAATTATCTGAAAAGAATGTTAAATTACATTACTTATATAAATGTAAACATATTAATTTTTTTTTATTAAAACATTATTTCTGAAAAATATTGTACAGAAATATTGTTTTCTTATATTTTAAGATTAAAAAAAATATACATATATATACATATTAAAATTATAATTTAAGTATAAAAAATGACATTTATGTTTTATGATAATAAGAATTATTTAATCAATAATAATTAACATCGCTATTATATATGCTTCATATTAAACTTACGAAACACTTATGCAATTGGAATTGACAGAAATAATATTGTTGCAAATTTCGTTGCCATTTTGACTTGATGAATCAAGAGTCGTGCGTGACAATATTATCAAAATCTTTTCTTCACAAAATGTTGAAGTAGCAGGTGTAGACAAGGCGGGATCTCGATTCTCACTGGTGCGCGGCCACGTTCCGGTCTACGCAATCGCTTTCGGCTGGTTCACAGGTGCGCAGGTTTTCTTGTGAGCTGCTTGCAGCTTTTATGCACTTTCCGTCGTGAATATCACAAGCTTCGGCAAGGACGCTGGAAGAAAGTGCCGGATAGTAGGCAGTCAGAGAAATTTATTGTGGTAGAATCTGAGAGAATTTTAGATAATAAGAATTTATAGAAGAGATTATTAGAGACACGCAACGTGAGCGCACTGTCGTTACTTCTCTACTAGCAGAAAGTGGTTTTAATGAAGCTTTTTAGACTTCAAATTGAGATATGTAATATATATAAAATACCGTATAATGATATTATAAAATGTTACGTAATAAAAAAGATTATTAATTAAAAATTTAATTTAATTTTACACAAGTAAATATATGTAAAATATTTTATAATTAGAAGATTTTCTTTTAATTAATTTAAAATATCCAGAAAAATTATTTATTTAATATCGTTTTGACTTACTACGCGCGCCCTCACTGCACAAAAGTTCTGGCGAGAGACAAACCGGATACAAGACTACAAACATTCTATCAACAAGCGTGCTTTTGAAGAGATATAACGCATATTTAATGAGGGATAATTAAAATTGATATTTACAAAACTTTTTGGAGAAAGAGAAAAAACCAATCTTTTGATTGGTCACGCGACAATAAAATAATTAATATCTGTAATAATAATTTAAACAATTATATTTAATTAGAATGTCTGCTTGGAATCCATGAATACGTTTATCAATGCGAAACAACGCGCGTGACACACATATACATATGTATACATATACACATACATGTTTAACAATTAATCAGAAGTTACTGACAAAGTCTAATGTGAAGGATACTATTACGAATTAGATAATTATAAAAAAATGAAGATATATTTCTTGTGGAAAAAATCGACAAAAAAGCTTCTGTTAACTGTAGTTAACTATAACTAACGTTGCTACGACTTGACGTCAAATGTCAAATGTCTCACGTTAAATTAAATTCTTTCTTTACATTCTTTGCCATGAATATTTGTGCAAAAAAGTGAAATTCTAAAATATTTAGATATAAGACATAGGTGGTGTTATGTGACTGATTTTAAAACTTCAATTTAACATTTTCTTTAATGTCAAAGGCTATTAATTTTATTTAAATATTTTTACTTTTATATGTTTTAACTGTTCTTTCTTGAACTTTTTGAAAAAAAGTTTTATTTTATTAAAGAAAACTATTTAAAAGCTCTTCGATATATACACACACTTCTCTTAACAGTTCTTTTAATAGTATATCACTATCAATAATAGTCAATTACAAATGTCTTTCTTTAATGAAATTGTTTTTTTAATTCGATTTGTGCAAATGTCATATGCTAATCTTATTTATAAAGCACCGTAGAATTTGGCAGAAGTAGAAAAGACTACCTTTCTCATCTATCTTGCTGGAGGCAGCCAGGTACCGCAAGGTCACGCTAATGGTAAATCGATGAGTCTATACAAAAAGTGGCTACTTCTCTTACTAAAGATCATTTTTTTTGTTTTTTTTTATTAAAAGTGTTATTTTACTTAAATTTCTATCTGAATTTCGATGTTTTTATATCTATTTTAAAATCACTAATAAATAAAAATAATAATTAATATAATATAATATTGTATATATTTCCATACATGTGATACCTCGCAACCTCACTCATTTGTTCTTCTCGAAATAAAATCTACGATATAATCGATATTTCCATTCATTGATGGAAAATATACACGTATATATACATATCCAGTTGCAGTATATAACTTGTAAATAATCGTGCAAAATCTTGAAAAGTTGTTTTTGTTCTTTTTTTGCTGTTGTTTTAATAAAAGCCTTAGATAGACTGTAGAACAATTTAAAAATCAAGACAGGTTTTTAAAACAAGGGTAAGTTATTTACATTTTAATCTTAATTAAAATTTGTATTAATAGAATTGGTTTTTGTGATTTTATTTAATAATAATAAAAGTATTTTAAATACTTTTAATAGTTTAAGTGGTTTCAAGTATTTTTTATCTGTATAAATTTATTATCTGCGGAATAAGGAGAGTAGGTATTAAAAAAAATATCGCAATACTTTAATAATTCTTTGAATAATCAATTTTATTTAATAAGCAACACGCATACAGAGGCTTGTGCGATGCTTGGCCGATAGTCGATTGAAGTGCTATTGAAATTTCGTGATCCGCGCCGTTGTATGATTGTTAATAATCGAATGGCGAAGATCGCGATCGATCGTTCATTGTCAAAGTTTCGTTGAGTATATATTCGCAATTGTACAGATAAAATTAGGTCTCTCGTATTTTTTTTTTTTTTTTGCGAAATTGTCACAAAAGCAACTCAGGACACTTACGTATTATTATTATATTATATAATTACAGGATAATATATCATATAATTACAAGATTATATTATGTATCCTATTATCTTTCACAAGAACAAACGAGTTCTGTCGGAATCTCTCGCGTATACTCTTTATTTCTCTTTTGCTTGCTCTCTCGCACATTCGCAAAAAAGAAAAGATTATAAGAACAGAAACTCAGAATGCAGATGGCACAGAAAATCGGTAACCTCATGTATCTAGAAATAATATGATAAACTTTAAAACTTGTAAAACGGATTTGACAATATTTCTCGTGCTTTTTTGCGCTCTAAAAAAGAACTCATTAAAGTAAGAATTAAAATATCTTTCTTCTGACTTCAGATACAACGATATTAGTTATTTTTAATAATTTCAAGTGCTAATGTTTTTTGAAAAAAAGTATTAATATTCTTGAGGTAGTTAGGGAGTTAAAGAGTTAGAAACTGTCAGTGCAAGATCACGACAGGTCGTTTCTAACGTGAGAATTTCAGCCTTTCGTTTTTCAAACTGGCAAATTGATCGGTTGATTAAATGGAAAGTCTAGATGCATGTTGAACCCGTTATCAGTCTCGGCTTTAATCGGCCGATTGCAAGGTATGACAGACTCGCGGATGACTTACGGTGAAGTTTGCATGCACTAAGAATATATGGCTGCTTGTCGTCGATTTGGTAAAGCTATTTAGGTATCGTTTCGGCGAACATTCTTTAACAATTTACATGCACAAAATACCGAGCTTTCATAAGTTAATAATATTTTTTGTTTATTCCTTTCGCGCGCATTTTTTCTTTTTCGCCTGTATATAAATTAAGAACAATTTATCACTATTGAAATGTGAATAATATTCATAACGTGAGTTTTTACAAGAAAAGTATTTGACTAGCATATATATTTCCGAGCATAAAAGATAATAAAAAAATTAAATATTAATAATAGAAGAATTAAATCATGTTAAAGAAATAACAAACAAACGAGCATTAAATTAAAATATATCGTTTAGAACATTTTAATTATTATCATTAATCTCACATCAGATTTATCTTGCAGAAAAGTCTAATAAGTATGTCTGTGATCACTAAATGACTGTCTAGAAATATCGCAATCATTTTCTCTTTTCATACATTCAGGATTCATCATTCCTATTTTTCTTTTAGTTCGATTCTCACACATTTATTTTTAATCATTCATCTCTCATATATTCTTTCAATCATACTGGTTTTCTTTTTTTTTTTTTTTGTTTTTGCTTTTATTATAACACACCACCGTCGTCGATCACGCCTACGAAAAAGAACGCCAATGCCATCTGCGGCATTTGCATCATAATGCACCTCGAAAGTACAAAATTATGCGATAGCCAACGTAATACTAATTGCTCGGATGACCTTTGCGTGATCTATAATTCGGGCAGCTCTGTCGACGGTGAGTTTATTCTGTACTTACATATTTTATCGTTCCAATGTTTTCTATCGCAAATAATTTTATGAGGTATTTTGCTAATTCCGCGAGAATCGCGATTACTAGACCTCTCCCGTTATTAAACGAGAATTGCAAAGTGCGAAGATAGGTCGTTAAACGTCTCCGACATAATTAATTGCATCGGTCGTTCGCGGTCGATGTCAACGTCGCAATGATACATACAACAATGAATTCTCGGGCATAAAGTGCTCAAAATATCGAGAACAAGATGCGCCTCAATAACCACGATCATCAAGACGAAAATCATCTAGAAAACACGCAATTTGTTTAGAATAGTTACAATAAGATGTTGTTTTTATCTGAAAAAATTTTGAGTAAAAAAACATCGTTTTCTTTAACTCTCGTGTTAGTATATTGTTAGTATGAGTAAAAAAAAAACATCATTAATAAATTAAAATACATTCATAACTCTGTAAATTTGAAACGCACGGAAAGATTGTGTGTCCTGTTCTTTTGAGTTGAGATGACCGATGGCCTTCTGTGCCTTATATATTTTTTTAATTAAGCTAAATAATAAATACATTATATTAAATAACAACTTTTCTCGTAGATATCGAACAACATTATACACTTTGTAGTAAAATCTCGTGAAAACGTGCATTATAGGATTATTAAGATGATTGGTGACTTTAACAAAAGATGGCAATGACATGTAATATTATTACCGCAATTGTCACAATTTAGTTAACTTTTTAAAATTAATATTTATTTTGTCTATCATGTTTTTTAAAAGATTTTATAAGTATAACTATCATTTTTAACAATACTTTTAACAGAACAAACTTATAATTTATTATCAGGCTCAACTACAAGAACAAAGATATATTTTCGTCAGAATCATCTTAATTTATCCTGTATTTTCGTATTCAATTACACAAAGAATTGTTGATGGATCGATGTAAACGAGTTAGTGAAGTGATCTTGATCAAAGACACAAAAAAAGAAAGTAATCACAATAAATTAATTCGTGCGGTAACATTACGATTTCTATACGATTCTCATCTTCATTAGATTTTTTTTCTATTCTTCTTCTTTTCCCATCAATTATCTACGATAGTTGAGAACAGATGATCTTAACGCGCGTGATTTTTGCAGAACGGGCGACCACCTTTTGCATAGAAACTTTGGCCCTCAAGATTCTTCTTGCACATCTAATATATTAAAAAAAAGATAAGTAACGATAAAAGACAAAACAGATAATTAATACGTAAATTTAATAGTTATTAAATAAATTATATATATTTATATATATTTATAAATAAATATATATTATTTAAAAACCACTTTTTTACATCAATTTATGAAATTGTAGTTAACACGGACCAACATTCTATATAAATCTCCATTAGATATTTATTAGATGTCAGACGGACGTAGACATTAAATAGATGTTATGTCTGCGTGGGAGATTTTGAGATATATAAAATAAGAATTGAAAATTTTAATATTATATAAGAATAAAACTTTGCGGTTTTAATGAATAGTAATTTGTATAAATATTACCGTGCAGTTAAAACACTGGCTGTGGTAGTTGTTGTTTAGAGCTTCCACCCAACGATCGCCAGCCTCGACTGGAAATCCACACGCAAAGCATTTTGTGGTGAATAGTTCATTCCAATCTATGCAAAATAAGAAATTGTTATTTAATATATAATTTATTATTGTATATATAATTTTTAGACAAATATTAAACAGATACAAATATGTTAGAAAGTACGCGCGATTTGTGAAAATCTGTTGATTATCTATCTGATAAAACTTCTTTTTGTGTACTTCAAAACTTCAAAAATTTTTTATACTATAAAATTACTAACCAGCTTCACAGTAGGGCAATCCTTCTTCCAAGAAAAATGGAGTGTTACCAAACAATTTGCCGCAATAAGCACAATTGAAACATTCAGGGTGGAAATGCTTTCCAATCGCGTTCAAGCAATCCTAATATTGAAAACAGAGATAATTGAATAATAGAAAATCTTTAGGATCAGTTACGATAAGTTATATACTTACACCTTTGATCTTGTTGTTGCATTTATTACATGTAGGCGCAATATATTTTTCGAAACAATATTCACAGTAAAGTTGTCCTTTTTCTTCGACAAAGCCGATGTCCTGAAGAGGACGACGGCATTGAGCATTGACGCAGACAAAGTGATCAGGACACCAAATTTGGCCCAAAGCAGTAATAAAAGGTCCTCTGCGTTGCATATAATTATAATTTTCGTAATTATTATATTATTAGATATTATCTCATTTATACATAGGAGAGCTCTATTATATGTACAGATTTCAATTGTCCAGATTGACTATGTAGAGCTCTTTTCTCATACGTAAGTAAAAACATTTTTTTACAAGCAAAGCACAATCAACTAATATTTTACGATATGAAGATTAAAACTCTCTCTAAATACAGATATATTTTTCTGAAGTATCAGTATATATTAATAAATTTTTTTGCGTGCAAAGCGATATTTTATACAAACCTTATGCACTCTTTGCCGTCTTTACAGCACACTGGCTTTAAGGTGAAACCATTTGATTTTTTATTTGATTTGTGATTAGTTTTTTCTTCATTAGCTGTCAAAAACGTGCAAATTAAATGTTAAATAGATGGTAAGTAGATAATTATTGTTGGCACAAACAAATGCAATAAAATTGTATGTTATCTTTTAATTAACGGAAAAGATAGAAAAAAATTTCGTTACTATAAATTCGAATCGCAGTGCAACTAAAAATTTCGAAACATTAAAACTTTTCAAATTTTATATCGATATTCTAATTGTTATCAAATTAAATAACACCATATAAAAAAAAGGAGAGATAAATTATTTTGATATAGTAGCATAGAAATGAATAAGAGTTTTTAAATTATTCAAATTATTCAATATTTAAATTATTGTTTAAATGTGCGTACATATATTTCTTTTTTCAATAATAATAATTTTACATATATAAATTAAGGTTAAAATTAAAAAATTATATAATTTTAAAAAAGTGGCAAATATAAATACTGTGCCGAAAAATGTATATACGTGAGTGTATATATGCGTGTGTGTACACATATATACATGTGTGTGTACATACATAAGTAATATATTTACATATACAAGTTTATTTTATTTCTTCAAGTAAAAGGTTTCTCTAAAAAAAATAAATAAAACTCAATATATATACATATATATATATATATCACAAAAATTCTTTGGAAAAATTAAAAATAACACTAAATAGAACTAAATAGCACATACTCACACAAATACATATCAATGTAGAAATAAATACGATAGAAAGAAAACAAAACAATGATAAAAACACAAAAGCAAAAACCGGATACGTCTATCGAAGAACAACGACACACAAAAATGCAAGCGTCAGCAATCAGCAATCTGGACAATCGTACTCTCAAGTACCTGACGTATGAGTTGCAATGAGCGCACAGCGGTATGCGCGATCCTGCTCTGACAGCCTGATTCAAGATGCCTCGTCCGCGTTTAGGCGCGCTACTGCCAGCGAACGATCCGCTTTTGGAACCCGCACTACTGAGACCACCAACTCCAGTATCTAGATCCGGGTGGGATGACAAATTTGATGGGTCTACTAAACTTTGAGGAATCTTACTAGAGGGATCATAGTGGATCTGGTCTTGGCAACGGTACTGCTTCTGACAGCGGTTGCCGGACTTGCAATTGGTCTCGCGATAGCTTTGGGCGTGGTAATGAGTGCTCTCAGCGTAATTCTGAGTCTGTGGGGGTTCAACTCGGAGTTGAGATTGGATCGGCTTGTAAAGCTGCACTACAGGTACGTTTTGCTGGCCGGTTAGATTAGTGCGAAGCTTAAAACTCGGAATGGAACATTGAGAAGCCGATGCAGGGATTTTCTCATAGGGAAGCGGAATCTGAGGGAAGGGAAGATTTATTTTTGACTGATTCGGACTGGGTTTCTTGCAAGATGTCACGCATACGGAACCGTCGGAACAAGGAGCTAGACAGATGTTGGAATCTGAACAGTTCGAGTTAAAATCGCAGTTTAATTCGCGACCACAAGTACCTGATGATTGACCACACGTGCCAGATGATATATCAAAATAAGGTGAAACGCACACACCTGATCGATCTTGCGTAGGTGTCACGCAAACCCCAGATCTAGAACAAGTTGTCTGAGAACCCTCGCAAGGCACTACAACAACACCGGTCTTAGCACCCTGATTGAAATGCGCTTTGCATGGTAAAATAGTCACTCCTGTTTCCGGACAAATTTTTGGTGAAGGAGTTTCATATCGCATATGACGCACATCCATGGAACTGCTGTAGATTGACTGTCTGGACGGTGCAGGACTGGCTTGTGAGTTCATAGGATTTGTCAATGCAGATTTTGAGCGAATTGCATTGCTGATATCGCAAGTGATTGGATTCAGACTCTGCGGCGTTGATGACATTTTTTCTCTTTGCTCGCATTTTTCATAATTTTCGACAACCTGAAGCGCTTTCTTCACGTGAGACGTAGCATTTTGCTGCTCGTTGGATTCTTCACTAGTCATGCACCGTGTTTCTTGAAACTGGGCATAAAGCGAGTTCGATGGACTTTTATCAAGGCTGCTAATCTCCTTTTCATCATAATTGACGGTTCTCGAAGCAGAATATTCTTGCGTTCTGTGACCGGTATCAGTATCTTCTTCTACATGATAAGAGATAATTTTGTTAGAAGGGAAGTGCACTGAATCACGTTTTGATGAACGTAGTTTGGGTAATTCTTGAACAGGTGACTTGAATCTGCCAGTAGTCGGAGTGGGTGTTCTACTAGGAATAAAAGGCTGACTCTCTACTGGTTCTTTTTTCATCGTCACTAAGTTCTTTTGATAAGACGGTATAGTATCTGGTTTTTTTAGACTTGTTGTCAATGATTTGGACAATTTAGATGTTTCAAGTCGCGATCGAGCTGGTGACGCTGCAGAGTCTCTTAAGCGATAGTCGTAGGACGATGCAGTAGACAAAGGTCGCGGTCCAGATTCTTTAATTTCCTTTTTGACGTATAATTGTTTTTGTGAATAAGATTCCCTTGTTGTACCTTTCTTACCGTATAAAATATCCAACGGCGGACAATAACTTTCATTTTGAACTTGAAGACTTGGAGTCTGCGATCTACTGGCAATTTGCTGATCTTCTGGTCTGATTTCGCGATTCAAAAGAGTGTAAGAGCGTTCGGGCGCTATCGTCAGTGCTTGCTGGAAAGGCGAAATCGATCGGATCTCTTCTTTAGCCGGTGGTGGTTTAGGTCGACACTTGTGATCTAAATAAATAGTTTCTTCAGTGTAAAGTTCCTTCACGCTAGAAGTGGCATTGAGCGTCGCGTAGGGTTGATCAGGCACGGTCGTCAGTGCGTTCACCATTTCAGACTTCCATTCTTTAGGTGTCGAATTCTTTACAGATATGTCAGACAGAGGTTTCGGTCCAGTTTCGGTTTCCTTCAAAAATTGAACTCTCTTTTTACATGTTTCCATAGTTTCTTGAGGTTGTTGATTATATTTTATTATAACACCATGTTTGTCTATTGCTTGTTGGTCTCGAAGACTCTGATGGACTTTTACTTGCTCTCGTAAGCTTTTCTTACGCTCTTCATCGATAGCATTTTTTCTTCTTATACGTTCTTGGACCAATACCTCTTCTGTGATCTCCTCATACGTTTCTTTTGTGATCTTGGTGCGACCTGGAACAGATCCGTCCGACTCCGTAATACGTTCCTCTCGCACAACAGTTCTACCCAGTGGTTGTTCTAGCACCTCTTCGACTTCTTCATTGTCTTCGAAAGTCACATGTTTCTTGCCTTTTTCTTCCTCTTCTCGTCTCCTTTCTTCTTCTTCACACTTCTTTTTTTCTTCTTTTTCTTTCTTTTTTTGTTCTTCTTTCTCTTCTCTCTCTCTTTCTTCTTCTTCTTCCTGTTTAGTCTTCTCTAATATCTGCTGGACGTCGATAGCTGACATAATCGTCTCGGAAGATTTTTCTACAGTTTGTTCTTCAATTTTTCTTTTCTTTTTTGTATCTTGTACTTCTCTATTAATATGCGTTTCAATTCTCTTCGTTAATCTCTCAGATTCTGTCTGATCTTCTTCCTCTTCGATCATCGGCGTTCTAGATCTCTCCTGAGATGCCATTTTCTCTATCGTCTTTTCAAAGATCGCCGATTGTTTTACATGCATTCCGTCAACCGTTTCTTCGGCTATATCGGTGATGAAATCACATTTGCCTCGAATTTCTTGCGAGACTTCCATTTCTTCCATTTTGTTATCTCTCAGATCGGTAACTTCAATATCGACTTCTTTGACCACATCTGTAGGTTCCTGGTTAGACATAGGCAAGGGCGGTTTCGGACAGATCGTTTCCTTTTGACAAATCTCTGCTTTATAAGCTCGCTGTTCTTCCCGATGATCCTTGACGCCCGATATATGTTCTCGATGGCAAACCTCTCGTTGCACAAATTTTTTGCAAACCTGTGCCGAAGGTTGTTCCTGTTGCCTCGCGTAACTCTGCTCGTAGAGATTAGTACGCGAGCTGCTGACAGTCGCGGTCCATGGTTTAGGAATTGGTTGGATGATTCTAGTGGGAGTCAGAGATCTTCGCGCGCTATCGGTCGAGCTCGCTCTCGAGGTCGTTACGTCCGATCTAGAGCTTCTGCTGATATCCATCAGCTCTATACGTCGATATGCTGGCTGTTCGGGACAACTCACCCGATCCATGTCTACTTCGCGACGATTGTACTTTTTTGATGCTTTTTTGACTTCTCGATCTATGCTTTCACCTTGTTCTTCAATACGATTCGCTAAGGCTTGCTCGCAAATTTTGATGCTGGCGCGTTTCTCTCTGATCGCTTGATTGCTTTTGTCAAGAACAGGGTTTGGATTGATGTACAGAGGACTAGCAGTGGGGTATGTGATATCTTCGATAGGAGGTGGCCAAACGAAGCTTTGGCTGGATTTTACAGAGCTGGAATGGGAGAGCTGGTCTTTTGAACCCTCTACAATTTCGTAATAGCAGGATCTTTCGTAGGTCTCGTTGCTACAGGTTTCTGAGGTTACAAATTAAGGGAATTGCGACAGACGATAGGAATCGCGGATCGATTTGCAAAGCGGATAGAAAACCGATCACATCATACGAAAAATGTTTAGAAGGATAATTGAAAGATTAGATTCGTCAGGATAGTGCGTTAGACAGAACAAACACAAAAAAAGAAAAACAGAAATCTGCGGTGAGTAAGAAGCACGATAAACGATATGCGCTCGTGGTTTCTTCGATTTTTTATCGAATTTTTAGAATAATAAACCGCAATATCATTTCAAATTCTTTTACAAACACGCTAAATAATGTATAAATTTTAAATATTATTGATTTATTTTTTCTAATTAATCATCATAACAAATTTAAATGCATGAAAAAGTAAGTATAATACTTTTTCATCTTCTAATGCATATGTTTGTAAGTATTTCTTAAATAAAATATATATTGTTGTTTCTTACGAGTTTATAATCACATATCCTATAACTATAATATATATATATATAATATTTTTTATTTAATAAAATGCAACATTTTTTAATTTAATAAAATTTTTACTTAATAAAATATATTTAATAAAATTTATTTAATAAAAGGATTTCATAAAAAAAGGAAAAATATTGAGTCAATAGATATAATTTTTTCATTGATTCGAGCAATTTTTAGTAGAAGAAGACCACGAGCGCAATTCGGTACGCTAAATTAAGAAAAATAAGCAAAATCACAGGATATTATAAAGATATTATAAAAATATAGTCTTTGCAGGAATCCTCGAAAACTTTCAATAAATATAAATTTAATTATTGTAAAAACATTAGACTATCAACTATGCATTCTCTTGATAGTCATTTGAATATAAATAGAGCACCATAAGATAAAAGCTGCAAGTTTGCGAGAATCAAAGACTGCTTTCAGATTGATTATAAGTAGCAAAAAAATTGTGCGATAATAATGTATATTAGCGTCGATATTTTGTAAACATCTAAGAGTGTCAATACGCGAAGCGAAGAAGAACGCCATTAAATATAAACTCGTGAATCAAATATCGAAAAAATTGATGATATTTAATAAAATTGTGCCAAAGTAAAAGACGTGTAGTAGCTTGTTCAACACGAAGAATTTCTATTTATTTATCCAACAAATCTCTGTGAATTTTTAAACACATTAAAATAACTAGAGAAAATAGTTTCTTTTTCCTTTCCTAATAACTACGAACTTTAAGGCTTGAAAGAAAAATCATCAGGATCGTGTTTCAGTTGTCAGCATGAAGACGACGACGACGGCGGCATCGAGAGCTATTGATTCATGCAAATGTGAGGGAGAAAGGTCTAGGTTTCGGGTTGAAAGACGGACCGGCTGAAAAAGATAAAAGAAAAATTATGCGCGAAAAAAGACACGCCAAATGCAAAACTTTACGAGCGAATATATGATGATTGAACTATAATTGTCCGAAAAAATTGCCAATTATTCCAATATAAATATACGCCACAGAACTACAAAGTTATTTGATAGTAATAAAAAATACTTGTTTTTTCAGAGAAGTAATATTACAAACCAAAATATATTTCGATATGTATACATGATCATGTAACGTCACGTTTTCAAATATATTAAATAAGTTTCTAAATTAGAAAAAAATAAGACAGGATATCGGCACGTATCGGGAGATCACTACAAACTGTCATAGCTCTCAGAGTTCGCCGTCGTCGTCGAGATAACGACGAACGAGATAACGAGCCAAAAACGGAAGATTTTTTAACGATGTCTAAAGATGTCTACGTAAAGATACGATCGAATCAATAAGAACTAAACGATTGATCGATATGCGTGCAAGAAAGAGCGACATAAAATGTGAGGACGTAAGCCAAGAGAGGCGTATCAGTTAAAGCTCGAAACTCGGTCAATCGACGGCTGTAATCTATTCGTCGTACCTCTGAAAGGCGAACTTTTTGGCTTTGGCAGGATAGAATACCGACCTATTTGTAAAAATAATATAAATATCGAAAGTAGAGTGAGGCCAAAAAATTGCGATTAACATAAGTCGATTACGAGACCGCTTCCTCGAGCTTTCTAAATAACAACATAAAAACAACGCAAGTTTCTTTTTTAAAAAAAAGTAAATAATAAGATAGATAGATAAGGAAAACGATAAAATTGTCCTTTTTCTATTCATTGCTGACTGCAATTTAAACAGTTCTAAGACAAATAGAAATACATTTTTAAATAGATCAACATTATCGGACATTTTTTACTGTGTCTATTTTGTGTTCGTATAATATATACTTATGTAACATCTTACATAAATATGCATGGTATCGAAGATAATCGCATTAATCTTGCAAAATATATTTTTTTTATTTTCGCGTTTTTGCATTAATTTTTCGAGTTTATCACCAATTGTATTTATATTTATGAGATAGAATTGACTCACCCGTCACAGTCTGACTTTGAGGACGTGATAAGATACCGCTAGAATTTATTGTTGGAGTCGAAGGCACGTTCGATGAAAAGCCACTTGATCCACCGAAAGGCTTAGGACCAATAAGACTGTTGCTTGTTGATGTCTGCAGATTAAATTAATATTTCTTTTTTACTATTGTAGTATTAATAGTGTCTAATTTTTATATGTTTAAAGTAATTTTTTATAGCATTTTAGTACATCGTTAAAAAATTATTTATTATTTTTTTATATTTTAAATGCCAACAAAAGTTTTGATGCAACCAAACGAACTAAAATAATTTGTAAAATAACATTTGCATGCGGAATCATTAGATTGTAGAAAATTTTCAGCTAAACGTACGAGATTTTGCTGTTTTGATATCGCCTACTAATTTAAAAGCATGATTAAATTAGTATAATGGCCTATATTGTGCAAAGACAAAGAATATATTGTCTACGCTTAAAAGTGTTATCTTCACTAGAGAGTTCACGCAATTGCACACAATTTTTCAAAAGAAGTGTTTTTGTTATTACACTTGTTATTTTTCAAGAAAAATGAAATAAGGTCTGTTAATAGTAAAATCTATTAATAATAATAAGTAAGATCTATTAATTACACATTAATACCAGAATTACATACACTTTCAACCGTGTTTATGATCACGCAGGCCTGACTTTACTTCGTTTTCCTTGAAGAATTTTGAGCATTGTAACTACATTTATGTTATTTTTATTTTATTTTATGTACAACAAAAGCATAAACGTCAATCAAGCGTCAGCATAAACGTTTATTACAAAATTATTTGAATAATCACTAAAGATACTGACGATGTTAATTGAATCAAAGAAGATTAACGTTGGTGTTATGAATCGTGCTAAGACTTTATCTGGACTGATCGTTAGCTGGGATCAACGGGCGAGATGCCAAGACAGGTGGTGGGCTATAATGCATAAAACAACGCAACGATGTCACGTGGGACAAATGATTAAAAAAACAAGAATAAAGGAGCGAGAGAGAGGAAAGAAAAATCGGTAGAAATGTTTTCGATTGCGACAGGTAATTAGTCATGAGTCTGAAATAGTCAATAGTCATATAAAGATGAAGAGATTAACATAAGTAGACAAAAAAGCTGATGATCACAAGAATACTTCAATAAAATGATGAACCGATGACTCTGATCTCAATCAGTTTTATGATTAATATCTGATCTTAGCTGACTTTTTGTATGACTTCGATATAATAATTAGTTTTTCTGTTGTGCGTATTAGTGAGCAAAAAAATTATTATTTCCAGCCATTTCAACCATTATTTCCAATTATTGTTATGCTATAAATTACATACATATATTAAATATATGTATTAAATACGAATATATTTAATATGAAAAATATTTAAATATAAGAAATTTATGCTGTGTTTTGTATTAATTTTATTTGTGTCTTAGAGATCATTGATGCTTTACTCAAGGAAATTATGCCAAAGGTAAAAGATTAGCATTATTTTTTTGCACTTTTAGTGGATACAAAGAGATCAAGATGCTTTTCAAAAGCACGTTGCCAACCTCTGTGCCACCTGTTTGGATAGTAATCATGCTCGTAAATGTTTTCGATTCACTGTCGCACTCGCCGTTGATGCATCCGTTCGTATTCGAGGTCGATCGCCGTGTATGTTTGGATCCGGAATCGGGACTCGTACGATTGCACGCCTGGAAAAGCGATTAGTGCCAAGCAAATACCACACTTGTTAAATTGTCAAAATAAGCGCGCAAAAAGATTGATTAGCGTAAGTTTATATGTATGACACTCTTGAGAAATTTATGATTTATTAAAAACAGACTTTCAAGTTGTCATTGTTCATTATTTTTATCAGTGTTATTATTTTTATTAATTTTATCATTTTATTAACATTAAAATTATGTTAATTAAAAACTTTTTTTCTCATCAAATAATTTTTTCCAAAAAATCAAATCTATAAGTGATTAATAATTACGACAAATTATCAATTATATTCTAATGAAATTGTCTTTCAGTAAGATAACATTATTGCATTATACGGTTGTTGTTTTCACGATGGTGTGAGAAAAAAATCGTTATGCGCGAAATTCCGTCACAACCTTCGCTCCTCTCGCAATTGTAAAAAATGCTGTGAAATTGCGCGCGAGTGCAGCCAAGCCACACGCACACTCAATGCAAAATATTCGCTTCATAAGCCATATAAACATCAAAACAGACAAGAAAATACACGTGCGCGAAAAAATTTAATCCGTGTGCAAATTATGATAAAGCAACTTACGGAGAATGGCTGAGGCGACGATCCGTGATTGCTGAGAGGCGGCGACAAAGGTGCGTTTGCCAATGCCGCGCTAATAGTGCTAGCTGGTGCTTTGCCACCTCTGTCGAATTGTCAAAAATCGTCACATTTACTTTTATTTCAACAATTTCATTTATTCTATATATTTAATAGATATAGTTTTCTTGCTTTCTTAATTATAAATATTTTTGTTTCTTTTTTTTAAATTTATATAAGATGTTTATTTGAAAGTTTCCATCTTAATACTGTCTAAAATATGTATATATGTATATTTGTGTATATTTTTATGAAAGTACATTTTGACAATCTTATTGAACACACTTACGGTGGTACAGTAATAGGCACAAGATCAGCTGGTGCGTTTTGTCTGGCGACAAGTTTGGCGTGAATGTCACAATATAATTTATTATTGATATTGTAATAACCGACGTTTTTTAGAGATGTGCCACAGGTCGAGCATTTGAAGCATTCCACATGAAGGTTCTTCTCTTTGATCCTGACGAAAACACCTCTAGAAAGAAGAAAGACTAAGTTAGCAATACAATCGTTTTTTGTTTTAATGCAATAATTTGAGTTTTCTTTAATTTAACAACCACAATAAGACGAGATGACGTCGCATCGGATGTGCCACGAGTTTTAACTTTATTATTTGTTTACTTGAGTCTCAAGACGAGAGAGAGAGAAAGAGAGAGAGAGAGAGAGAGAGAGAGAAAGAGGAAACTCGATACCTCGACGAAGGAGGCCGGTCGTCACTATATTATTCAAAATATGATCTCTATAAGAATTATATCCGACAATAGATATATGAAAGCGATGAGACAAATAAAGCTACGAGAAATGTGCTTCTCGGATTGATTTCTGTATAACTAAGTTTCACAAATAACAATCATGTCAAAATACCAGGGACTAAAACTAGATAACAACATATTTGTAATTAAATACTTTAATATTATGTTCACGTATACAATAATTACGGAAATTACAAAACAAAATCTTTTCTTTTTGTTGATTAAAACAAAAGTAATATATTTTACTACTCTGTACATAATACCCGTAAAAAAATAATACACACATAACTTTATGTCGTTGTCGATAAAAAAATATTGTCTGTAATTTGTCGCGCAAAAATCATTTGTTTTAGTATTAAAAAAGTCGAAAATGAAAAAATACTAATATAAAAGAATCAGAAGTAAAAAAGGCTTTATTTACAAATAAGAAAAAAATAAAAATTTACAAAATGTGTTTGCACAACATCAAAAGCGTTTACGTTATTGTACTCACAGTGTGCTGTAAATAATGTGCGTTGAAAAAGGTGCTATTAAGACAGAGCGCAAAGAGATATAGGATTGCGTTCCAAGCTGTGAGCAAATGAGAAACTATCGTCTCGTTCAGATACGACATCCAGTAGGTCGTAAGCTCGAATGATCGCAAATGATCGAAACTCGTTCAAAGACAACAGCGATAAAAATGCATAACGATCGAAGTGCTCGCTCTTCCTGAAGAAGCGATGTTGACAAAAAGAGATGATAAAGAAAGGCATGCTCCGAATTAATCAAAGATAAAAATGTGCACTTCGTTTTGTGTGAGATCTGTTATTGTCATCACACTATAATCCAATTCTTTACATCTTTCTGTAAGGAATTTTGTGTATTTTTATAATTTATTTTTATATATTTGTATAAATTTTATTTTGTTACAAGTTTTTTTATTTATAAAATATTTAGATGCTAATTAAAAATATATATATTTATATTCAAGAAATGCACTTTTTTTTTTTTAAATCGGAGACTTCAAGATGATACCAGCGTACGACAATCGAGCAATTCAGGACGGCGTTGTTTTCGGGACCAATTTTTGGCAATCGTACGAGCCGAGTGAGAACGACACGAGTATTATCGACGAGTTTATTAAATAATGATATTCTCATTCTAAACAGAAAATATATATCAGCAAATATAATCGATTATTTTGTGAAATCGTGTCGTTCTTTCGGTATGCGTAAGAGAATATCTCGAAGACGCCAAAACAAATCCCATGGCCGTCTCGTGCACAAAGAAGTCTTGCACGTAAATAGTTACACGATCACTCGGTCGCAGTTGCTACAAACGATTCCGCTCGGCGTCGACGACCCCGAGCCGGCGGAAGACTCTTGCTTTTGTTGTTGCGATGTCTGATTCCTCGATTCGTCCGTCCACACGAAGGACCTGCTACCAGCAGGTGCACTACCACTACCGCCCATAGCATGAAACAGAGGCGTGGGTGACCTCGGTGAAGTGGCTCTTCCGCCAACCGCGTGGCTCACCGAAGAGTAATATTCTGTTCTTGAAGGAACTACGACATGGAAAGTAGAGAAAAAGCGCCATGACAACCGGATTAAACCGGAAAAGTGTCGGATTGGATGTGACCAATGTTGATCACTTGATAAAACTCTTCGGCGTTCGTCAATCTCTCGCGCGCAAATTTCCGAATTCTCAGATTAATTAAAAAACTCTATTATTAAGAACTTTTCAAATATTAGTTGATTTAGAATTAGAAACTTTTTTTTATATAAAAATTAATATAAATTGAATAAAAAAAATTAATATAAATTTTGCAAATATATGATTGTAATCTGAGAACTGCAAACCTGCGTTATATTCGGTACATCCGGTACGCAAGTCAGAAGTGGTTGTAATCGTAGAACTCATTTGTGAATCACCAGCACTATCTGCTATTTCGCCGGTGTCTAGCTGAAAATAAAAATAGCACGTTTGGTTTACATAAACTTACACGATGAGCCTCTCGCACTCGACACAAATGTTCTGTCCTGGTGGTAGGCTCGTTTGTGGCGTCGAGGGCTGCGGCTTCGTTTCCGGTGCCTGAACCGGCCGCAATCCTGCCAGGGCGGGCGAGGATGGCGTTATCACGCCGCTGCCGGTGCTTGGTTCCGCTATTTCGTAAATAAGTTATCGACATGCAACAAGCCGACTGAAGCCGATTCTGGTCCAGTCGATGACCCGATCACCAAAGAACGCATCAATTCAAATAACAGACTTAGAAATACCTTGCTAAAGTTTTTTAATTAAACATTTGAAGTATCAAAAAAAAATATTCCCAAATTCTAATCACACAAATACTTATAATGATTGAATATTTTAATAAATCAAAATCTTATGATTTGTTCAGTAAGTTTTTCAATAATTGAGTGTTTCATATATCAATTGCAGTTACCAAAAACAATTAAATTTTTATTGGAATTGAAAATACATATAAAGCATTTTATGCAATACGCTCTTCAGTGATGCTTTCGTACATGACTTATATTAATGTTTAAGTATATAGTAGAAACAATTATATTATTTCTATATATTAAATATATAATTTTTATATTGAAAGAACAAATTGTTACTAACCAGGTTCTGGAGTTTTTGGTTCTTTATCCGCTTCTTGGACCATTTTGAAAACTTCACTGTTCTCGGCATTGTAGTTTTTCTCGTTTTTTTTAAAATTCACACTGCAATATTTGTATTATAAGCAAATTGCTTTGCGCTTATCAAACAATTTATTAACTAAATTGATTAGTTTTTTCTATTTTGCTGTGGCATTAATACTCAGCTATAAGTACTTATACAAGTGACTTTTTTTTTTATAAGTTTCTGTTAAAATATCCAATATATTCAATCGTGTGACTTTAATTAAAAAAAATAAATAAATAAATAAAAAAAAAAAAAAAAATTATGAGTTTAATTTCGCCAACAATTATTCCTCTCTCTTTCGGTTTTGTGATTTTACCCAAGAACTCCTCCGGCAAGGACTTCCGCTTGAGCAGATAATGTCTCCGCAATAGTCTCCTCACTGTAGATTCCTACGGGGCTATTGTACTGTTTGTTCACGATAGATTTAATGGAACCGTCGGTACCATTGAGCTAAAAATTATTACACACGTGTCAACATAAATAGATATATCTATAAAACATCACTAATCGTCTCTTATATCTTTATTATGCAGAATCTGCGTAGCGCGATTGAGAGACACAAATTACACAACAATCGATACTAACGAATGGCTTGGGACTGAAGTTGTGTCCGCTGCCGACAAGAGATCCATCCTGTTTCTTTGCTGCCAAAGAAGTCTTTGTAACTGGCGCAATGTTTCCTGCGGAAGCTGTGTGTACTGGAGGCGGCAAGTTTGCGGTTGCGGACGTCACATGCGGTTTCCAGGTACTACCACCCCTGTAATGATAATTTATCGTCCGTTAAAATGCTGCGGAATGTTAATTAATTGATATTAATAAAAATATAAAAACATGTAATAAATATAAAAACATTCTTCTATTGTAACAACGTTGTATACTATAACTTTTAATGTGAGATAAAAGATAGATCCACTATAGTGGCTGTTCGTCTAAAAGATCGTCTAGCGAGAAGCATTAACAGTGGCGCTTAGGACTTAAAAAATTAAGGATACAAATAAAACTCTAATATTTTGCAATTTTTGAGTTCGTGGTTCGCCAAATTCAGCGATTCCGTAGCTGTGTAGTAAATACGGCGACATATGTAATTTGTTTGTCGAGTTTTATTATGCTAGCATCTCACCTTTGAACAGTCAGTTCAAAATTATTTCCGGCTTTGACTATAACATCCTGCGCGTCCTTGTGCCTCAAATTATACATTTCGGTGTTATTGACTTTGATAACCGCATCGCCAGCTTTAAGACCGGCAGCTTCCGCTGGCGAACCGTTATTGACCTGCAATAAAAACAGACTGATTCAAATTTACGTGGACAAAAATCTAAATCAATAAACTAATAAATGCAATTTAAAGTTATACGATTATATAATATAAAAATTATAATATAATATAATATATACAAATATATAAAGTAATATATAAAAATGTATAAAAGATATGTATATGTATACATAAAATATATGTATAAAAAAAAGTCAGTAAGAGTTAACTTTGATTTTTCTTTGGTTAACTGTATATAATAATTATCATTTAATTTAAATTTATTATTATTGTCAAAATTTAAGTGTAAAATGGCGATATTGAAATTGTTTATTAATTAATAAAAGTTTATAAGTTAATTATAAAAGTTTATAAGTTTTTTATGCATCTGCAGTTATTTTTATTTTTAATTCATTAAATCAGTTATATAAAAAAAAAAAATACTTTTAAATACAATGAACCAAAACTACTGTTTTGGTTTATTGTATTTAAGTACTTTTGATGGCCATGTTAATCGGCAACGGTATTTAAGACTCGTCTCAAATGTCAGGTCTATTTTTACGAGACGACGAATCAGAGTTCTCTTTTTCTCTTCTCTCCAGAATCTAGACTCCAGAGGAGCCACACTTATATTTAAGTACACACGTCATTACGCCTCGAATATTGAACACTGTGCATCCATTCACGTTAGAAAGACTTCATTGTCGATGGCGAAAAAAGACGATTAACGAAAAGAAGATAATAAAAGAACGTTAAGAGAGAACAGAAACTATATTTTAAAAAATATCAAGACTTCTTTCTTGCAATTTGTTGTTGGCGTTTTTGCTGGATGGCGTTGATTACGAGCTCTTCTGCGATGTTGATGATAAAAGCATAAGTAATAAAGATCTTTGTGTATGTTTAATTTAATCAGAAATAAAATAAAATCAATATTTAACTTGAACGTAAAATATAAGAGAGATTATTGATTTAAAAAGATATATACTTAAACAGACAATATTATACAATTATTTTTTATTATTTAATTTTTAAGTTTTATTAAGTATAAAATTAGATTTTTTTATAAGATATTTTTTAAGCAATATAACACTTTAGTCTCTCTTTAGATGAACATAATTTGCCTGTAAATTAAAACAGAATAGATTATATGTTTCTTCTTTCCAGAAAGTGAATCGTTTTGCAGGCAGTAACTACAGGCGGCAATTGATAAGTAAAAAACGACGCATAAGCAGCAACAGTATCACATTGAGTATTGTTAACAAGATTTATTCTTCAGAAGAACAAATGTCAAACGCTGGCTCATTATCGCACATAGTATTTGTGTGACAGCTCTTCTGAAAGATGCAACTTGTCAACGACAACAGCTATGGTACTACTGTCGCTATCTGCTATGCATCATTTCGGATATTTATTAATCACTCCGTAAATACTACACTACGTAATCACTACACATAATTACACGTTATATAAGTCTACAAATAAAAAACTATTATATATTAACAATATATTTTTTCAATTTTCTTTAAAAGATTTAAAGTCTTTTCTTTTTAGAGATTTTACATTTTCTTTCTACACGTCCGCAAAACGTCACAACAGCTGCGAAATCGGAACGTGAGCTTGAGAACAGTTTGATCTGAACGTGTGGTTACCGCAAATAGAAGCTCGCAAACTTGCGTCATCGTCGTGAGCGTAATACCTCGTTTTATCGTTCTGCTTCGTCTTCCGAAACTTTCGACAATCTACTATAGAGCATACGATTTCGAAATGATCGTAAAATGTTTCCCTTTGAAACGTAAGTACATAATATAATTTTGTATGTTTTTTATCATATTATTTATATTGTATTATTGTATTATTTTTCTGCACACAAGTCCTTTATTTTTTTTTTATTTTTCTTTTTATTTTCTTATTTATTTTAATAAAATGACTGTTTTTCTAAAAATATTTCATATCAAGCAAGAGAGAGAATGTTATTTTTATCAACGGCCAATTCATATCTAAAAGTTCTCGTTCGATCAACAAAGTCTCTCAAGCAACAGTTAGTCCTTAGATACTAACCGCCTAGGAACGTGGAAATACTATGTACTGATACATTTCTTTTTTTTATATCAAAATATATTGCTTGAATGTATTATTAATGTTTTATACAGTTAAAATTTTGCTCAAAAACTTGAATCTTGTAAAAGTTCTAACTTGAAAACATCTACATCTTGCATTTTTTTATTAATTCTCGTTTTCGACTTGGAGAGGTTTAATCCTCTCTAAGTCGAAAACAATCAAAAATTAACTCAAAGTAGGTATGTTTTGAGCGTACTATTATTTTAGTTTATCTTTACAACTCAAAGTATGTTCAAAATTAGCTTCTTGAAAGAAGTCTTTGTAACTCAAAGTAGACGCGAAAAAGATTCTGTATCAGCGCTTCTATTTTTTTCTTCCTTCGTTCTCTATCTATTCTAATGTGCATGTGTGTAGTGTTAAAAATTAAATTTTGTTTGAATCACTATAAATCAAATTTGTTTCTGTACTTCTATAACTCAAAACATTCAATAAGTAATCGATAACTCGAATTATTTTTACGTTTCTCAAGAGTTTGTAAAATTCAAATATATTATTAAAATAAGTTTTTGGTTTTTAATATTGTAATAACAAAAGTACATAACATTTTAATAGCAACCAGAAAATATTTCACGCGCTTCGCGCGTTTCACATTTCTGAGTGACCATGTGTCTTTCGACGGATGTAATTAATGGCCTGATTTTTATGGTGTTCCTACGATGTTGACGAAAACATAGGGATACATACGTAAGTCAGGGTTAAGTTGACTGGTGGGCAGGTCGCTACTAAAAATAGTTTTGGACCGATCTAAAAATAAGATTTCCGAACACGGTACAGTCGTTATATACATTGGGAACTGATTTGCAGCCGAAAGAGGTAGAATTCATCAAGATGCACCAGACTTGTTTCGATGTACGCGACACGTCATCTACAAATTACAATTGTTCCCATTCAGGCAATAATAATAATTACAGTGTCAATGCAAAAGCCGACAAATAAACGTGAATATAACATAAATTTTTTTACATTATAAATTAATTAACACAAATCTCAAAAGAATTTGATTTTATTTAGTAATTATTCTTTATTTTTATTTCTTAAACAAAGAAAGAAATTTTAATTTTTCTCACACAATATAGACACAAGTTGCAGATATAAATGCAGATTATGAATTGTTTTTTAACAAATTTGAACAATCAGAGTCTATTTCATTACGTCATGTGGTATATTAAAAAATATAAGACATATAAGTTAGTTAAAAAATACACAATCCGCTTCTTTATATAGTATTTAAAAGTAAATGAATAATTAAGCGCAATGAGCTTTATTTGAGAAATAATTATTTCTTATAATGCAGCGTTAAATTTTTTTACAATATAATCTAGATCTAAATTTATGATAGTATCATAAACTACAAATCCGATTTCGCGATTTATACAACAAATAAGGTTTTGGATGACAGCTATTGCATCTAAAGTGCTGCCACATGTCCTGTCAGAATTGTTTTAAAAATAACTGTCGAATATGTACATGTATATATGTCTACATGTATACATATATATATATATACATATATATATATATATATATATATATGTGCATGTGTACATATATATGTGTGCAGGTAAATGCATCCGAGTGCAGTGAAACCGAGAGGGAGAGAATATACCAAGGTGTACGAGGTACGCATTCCAATGGGCGGGTTATCAGAGACGGATCCATCCCACCTTCCATGTTGGAATGCATCTGTTCTTTTTTTCTCTATTCTTTTCTCTTTCTCTTTTTCTCACTTGAGCTTAGGAGGAAGATTCTTAAGGCTTGTTCATATATGCAATAACGTTAAAATTGCCGCACTCGCGAGAAACACATTCATACGAACCAGTTGCATTTTATATCATGCAGAAACACGAGACAAGTTTCATATTTTTCTACATATGAAGGTTTTTCTTTTAGCTTTGTCTCAATGTGTTAGGAGTAATGTTCAAAACATTGAGACATATTAAAATTCTTGTAATATTTATGTTATGTACGTAGACATAAAGAGAAAGATATGTATATATANTATATATATATATATATATATATATATAAAATCCAAAATTATACTAAAAAAGGGAGAAATAATGTTATTGAAAAATAAACATATTTAACTTTGGACACATTGACATGTGTGTCGGCAATGGCAAAATAAAAATTAAAACGAAATGGAATGTTTCTTTTGCGTGACAAAAGAAATAGACAATAACAGCAAATCAAAATTAGCAGTGCTTAGTCGATAGTTTTTATCATGTCAAATAAACACTATTTTGCTATTGCATTATTTCAAAGTAACAATATGCAGATATGTGAACAAATATGTAGATATTTATGTCGCGTTTATTTGAAATTATTGAAAATGTTATCATGATTCTGATTATATATAGTATACTGAAACGAAATGCCAAGAAACGAAATCGAAGAAAACGGAGGTCAACGAGTGCGTGAAAGTGGAATCAGTTCTCAGAGATGCGCATGAATCGAGACGATGACACGCATGCACGCTAATGGAACCAAAGTGCTAATGATTATGTGTATGTATCGTAAAAATGCATCTCCAAATAAACACACACATTTAAGAAAATTTAAACAATTTCTAGAAAAATCAATACAAAAAACAATTTTTTAATTAAATTATTATTATTAATTTATTTGATTTATTTTCTTTAATATAATTAAAAAATTTATGTTTATCAACTTAGTAGTTGTGGATGTCTAGACTTTTCATTTTTATGTATTATATAGTATTGCTGCTTGAAAATTATAATAAATAAATGCGCAATTGTTCTATTCTAGCTGAGAAAGTCTTTTGCTACAAATTGAACGGGTTGAATTTTGCGTTATTTCACGATTGGTTTTTGCAACACGGCGCGAATGTTTATTTGTGTGCAAGCATGAGTAAATTAACGGATATTCAATGACGTTA